TTGTGCAGAGAGAGCAGAGGAGAGAGAGTGAGAGAGAGAGACGAAGAGAGAAGAGAGCAGAGAGCAGAGAGAGAGAGAGAGAGATCAGAAATACGGTACTGTTTGGTACCAAGCACAAAAAGTTCATGCTTGGTAGTGACCGGTGGCATAATCCCCCTCCATTTAATTTCAAGATGCGTTGCATATCCTCATGTACTCTTCAACCCATGTGAATGTCGGTACCCTTCATTTGAATAAGTGGAGGGGATTGTGTCACCTCGACTACCAAGCCAATATAAAATTCTGCTGAATTTGGTACCAAGACATACCCATATTTCTCTCTCTCTCTCTCTCTCTCTCTATATATATATATATATATATATATAATATATCTATATAATTATTATATATATATATATATATGAGAAATATGGGTATGCTTGGTACCAAGCACAAAAAGTTGTGCTTGGTAGTGAGGTGGCATAATCTCCTCCACTCATTCAAATGGTTACATATCATCATGCACTCCTCAACCCATGTGAATGTGGTCTCCCATTTGAATGAGTGGAGTGGGTTGTGTCACGCCCCGAATCTGCAGCGGAAATTCATAAAATACGAGGTACGCGACAGCAGTGACCCGTGCACGAGACAAGTCTTATGCACAAGTCAAGCCTGGCAATTCATATCACATAGTTTATTTTTAAAATATTAATAAACCTGCTGATGATAGAAATCAGAGCAACTATATATATATGATCGGTACTTACAACCCACAAGCTCACCGTTATAAGTATTTTTACAAAAACAAAACAAAATATGCTGAAGGTAACATCAACAAGAAGAGGCTCTTCATATAACGCCTTTCAGCCAAAATCTCAAATCAAAAGTCGGCTAATAGGAAGCTACGTCAGATCTGAAAAAAATTTAAAAACAACGGGGTGAGCTAGCGCTCAGTGAGAACATTTCCCACTAGAGTTCCTAGATAACTAACAAAATAGTAATAAGAATAGTTCTCAGAAATTAACAAATTTCAAGTTTTGCATGAGAAATTCACAGATAGCAGAATACGATCCAAATATCATAATATTGTCGTCTTTAAGAAAGAATACAACAATTATATTTTCTTTCTTATATGCAACTGAAATAAACTGTGGAATTTCTTGAAATCAAACCCTTTTTGAATCAAGGTAAACATTAAGAAGGAAAAGAACTACTAATCTATACAAAATCAGAGAATTGTTGTTTTCTCAATTTCACAAACAATTATCATAATCTTATTTCTCAATGAGTTATTCATGAATGTAAAAGTCACCCCATAGGTCACACTAAGGCTACGAATTTTAGCCTAGTAGCAAGGGAATGCGTAAACCGCATCAGATAACAGATAATTTCCGGAAACTGGATGCATCTAACACTGCCATAGGCTACTGGCCAAATACAGAGGGGCCAGAACAGATTTCAGAAGGGCCAATACAGAAGGGCCAAGGCCAATACAGAAGGGCCAAATAAAGGTGCATTCACCATATGGCAGGCAGAACCAATCCATAGTGGATTATTTGAGGGTTTGAAAACATCGAGATCACATGTCAAATGAGAAATACTTTGCATATCAGAATTTGCATATATTTCAAATAAAATTGACAAGGTAAAGCTACTCATTTCAGTTAAAGCAGATTTTAGATATTTACTTTCTCTTTTATCAGATACTAAGTTACGACAAATCTTTGAATCCGTTAAACAGTTGAAATACGTTTCAAATACTTCATCAAAACTTTTAGATAAACCAAAGTCTACAATTATTTGAAAATTGCATGAGAGTCAACTTTATTTTTCCATATTTTACATAAGTTCAAATTGACTTTTCATATATTGTACGAGGCTACCATCATATCATAGGATAGACCACAATAAACATAGGTCAAATCTTTAATATACACGAAAAGACATATTATTTATTTATTTATTTGTTTTATCACAAGATAAATCAAATATAAAACTCATGCAATTTCATATTATAAAAATACTAGTGAGAAATGAACTCACCTCTAGTGGTCACGACTTTCTCAAAATATTAGTCTCCCGAATATCAGTCAGAACCTATAATGTAAGATATATGACTAATTATTAATTCAAAACAAACATATATTATAGGTAAATCAATTCATAATCTAGAGTCTAATAAACTCAAATATAATCAATAGTGATTAAATTCTACAGTAGAGCTTATTGTTAATTTTAGCAATTTATCAAAATTTTATAACTCTCATATACTAGCTTTTGGACTTTCTAGCAATTTATGATAAGACAGGGGTTTATATGTAATTATTCTATTCATATATGATTTTAGCTTTCTCTGTTAGGGTTTACTTACAAAATTTTGTGGCTTTTAGGGACTTAGAATGAATTCTTAGGTCACAAAATTCTATTCTCCACTCAAGAGGGTTTTATAAGCAAAGTCAAATTAACTAAGGGTCTTTTTATAAAATTCCTTCCTTTAATATTAACCCAACTGATCATCTTCCTCCTCCTCCTTTCTTCGTTCCTTTTTTTTTCCTCTTTTTTTTTCCGTTCCTCTTCCTCTGTTCTCCTTTTTTTTCGGTTTTCTTCTCCTCTCTCTCTCTCTCTCTCTCTCTCTCTCTCTCTCTCTCTCTCTCTCTCTCTCTTTCTCTTCCGTCTCTCTCTCTCCCCCTCTCTTTCTCTCCGCCATGGCTGCAGGACGGCGACGAGGAAACCGCCGGCGACCAAAACCGACCGACGACAAGTCCTAGGGTTAGTCTATTTTCCTTTTCTTTCTTTTTTTCCAGTTTGTTTCATGTCTCCTAAACACATAAGAAAATTTCTCTTGAAAACCCTAGATTCTTTTTTTCATATTCATAACAAATAAATCCCCTTATTCATTCTTATTTTGATTCAATTTACTAAGATTTCTATAACAATTTACTCTTCTAAATCAAGAAATCAACAAAGGGAAGGGTTTATACGTTTGGGTTACTTGAATATTAGATGAAATCCTCTGTTTTCCTTTCACTGTCTTCTTCCTCTTCTTCTTTTATTTCTTTTCACAATTTTAATCTAGGTTGTCAGAGGGTTGGGTTGAAGAAGATGAGAGGATATTTTCTGTGTTGTTTGTTTTTTTTCTGTAATTTTCTTTGATTTTTTTTCCTGTTTTATACTTCTATTAAAGAGGTGCCGGCCAAACTGTCAAATGTTATTTAGCCACACAAACATTAACGTGGCAATTAATCAGGGGTTAGGGTGAAATCCTGAAAATACCCTTAATTAATTCCCTAATCTGTAATTAAAAAAATTCTCCATTAAACAAGTTTTTAAGGCACTAACTGTTTAGGTTACTATAGGTTGTGCTACCTCATTACCAAGCACAAAATTTGTGCTTGGTACCAAACATTATCCATCTCTCTCTCTCTTTCTCTCTCTCTCTCTCTCTCTCTCTCTCTCTCTCTGCTCTATATATTATATATATATATATATATATATATTATATAATTATATATATATATATATATATATAGTATATATATATATAATATATATATTATGAGATTAATAGGGTATCCTTGTCATAGGAGGCGCGATTTCCTGCCTTGACGCCCCTAAAATCACATGATTGAGCGACATTATGGATGATAACCGTTTCCGTTGACTTGATCTACATTTATTCTTAAATCCCCAACACATTCAAGTTTGGGCTGTGAACCCGTTTGTCGCTTTGCACCTTCATCCACTCGTTATCAATTTTAACGTTTAATGCAATAGAACTTTTCACATGCGCTCCGATGTGAGGCCGTTCAAACGACGACGGATTCACCCCAAACTTGCGTTGTGTGCATTTTAGAATATGTTAGATCAAGTTCACGGAGCGATCATCCACCAAGTTCGCTCAATCATGTGATTTTAGAGGCCGTCAAGGAAGGAAATCCCCTCCTATGATAAGGCATTACCCTATTAATCTCTCTCTCTCTCGCTCTCTCTCTTATATATATATTATATATATATTATATATATACTATAATATTATATAATATATATACTATATATAGTGATGTGTCACATCCTCATCCACTCACTACTCATGTGAATGTGGTCCCATATTTGAATGAGTGGAGGAGGATGTGACACATCACTACCAAGCACAACTTTTTGTGCTTGGTACCAAGCATACCCATATTGCTCATATTTATATATATATATTGAATGACATGTATATTTTGGACTACTTAGTCTAGTGGTAAAATTTAGGAGTTTGTAGAGGAGGTTAGTGATTCAAATCCTAACCACAACATATATATTTAGAGGTCTTTGATGGGGCCTTAGGGTTCTTTGTATTCTATAATTATTTTTAATTTTCTTTGTTTCTATAAATTCTACAATTATTTTATATCATTTTATCATTTTACTTTCTATAATTTTTTTTATATTTATAAATTACATAATTACAATTGATTAGTAATATTTTTTTATCAAAATTGTTTTTATTTTTTGCTTTGTCTTCTTGAAAAAATTTAAAAAATTTAAAAAACATAGAAAACTCAGGCCGGCCCAGAGCCCGGTCCGCTTAGGCCTGAGCCCGGAGCAGGCCCACATAGGCCCGGACCATGCCCAAGACACCCAAACCCGGACCAGGCCTGGGGCGCCCGGGCCCGGGCTCTGGTTTTGCCCAGCCTAGACCGGCCCGGATGGACATGCCTAAGTAACATGACTATAAGAGAAGATACAAGTCTAAAAATATGAGCATGTTATTTGAGTAAAAAATATGTAAATGAGGACAGAAGCTTCTCAAGGCAAAAGTTCAAGGACTGGGGAGCAGTCTTCAGATTCTTGATGCATTTGTACGGTTTGTTTGCGTACAGAAATAAGGAAAGAAACACTATTTTGTTATGAACTTACATGTATCTCACTAAACAATACTTGTATCTGTTTCACAAATCACAAACAGATTGTTTTACATAATTATCCACGAAATTGCCAAGGCAAGAAAATTTGCAATTTATGGATCCACGTTATTACACGGAAACACCGGAAGGCTCTGGTTTTGTTATCTATCCCATCTTTATGATTTTACAATTAACAAACTGAAATTACAACTACCAATTTGCAAAGGAAATTGTATTTATTACAAACAAGACATGGTGGGAGGAACAACCTAATACTCGCCACTAGAAAAAGATTTTGATTGAAAAAATTGCTACTGTTGCAACAGGAAATATAATGCACATTTTGCTGCAGGATAATTTCTTGCAATGTGTTGTATGATTAAATGTTCTTTTGGAGAGGACCGTGCTTTCATCGGTTGGTCCCACGGTTGAAGAGGCCTTGACTATAATCCTCCTGTCCATGATGATTCCAGCTGTCTCATAACAAATATTTGCTCTCCTATGACTACCAAAAATGTATTTACCCAGATGCGTGAGCTTGATGCAAGGCAAACAAAATGGACTGGAGTTTAAAATTGGCTTCAGATTCAGCATCAGTAACTCAACATCTCATCAAAGGAATTTCCCCAACTCGGAGGAAAAGCATCACTTGCTCATACCATTATACTGATGTCCTCCAGAATATCTCCCATCACAAGTGCTGAAGTTTTTTAGTGGGCATCTGGCAACCTGCTTCATAATTTTCACTTAAGTAGGGAAGTTCGATAGAGAACTCAATGCACTGAATGAACTCAATTTACTCAAGTTGATAAGAGAATGATGGTACATCTGCAGAGTCTCTTCAAAAGACATCTGATAGTATATTTGCAAAAACATGTATATCTCATACACGGATGGCAATCCACTAAAGAATTAAAGATCAGAATCAGCTATCAAGTTCAAGCTATTTGAATAGGTATTGCTTACATTAATTGGCAAAGAATCGCAGGATATTTGTCACTCATGAGTTGAGGAACTGCTCTGTTAGCTAACATCAGTGCAGCTAGGAATTGAGTAAAATATACATGATTGTCAAAATCTGAACCAAGTGGATAATGTACATAGCTGTTAGTATCTAGCAGGTCACATAACTTGAAGTAGCAGGTCATAAAACTTGAAGTAAATTATAACTGGCAGAGAAGAACTCATGGGTAAAAAAAATTCAATAGTATACGAGACATTTAGTATAAGACAAGCCTCTAGCATGAAGAAAAGATCAACATCCACAAAAGCAAACAAGTACAAGTCACAGGTATCAAGTGGTTTGCAACTTATACAGGTTATAGACAAGCATAAATCAAGGCTACAGTAAGGTCGATAATTGTAGGAACCAAACACAGCCAAAGCCATAAAGGGAACCAATTACATTGGCAAGAGGTCTAAAGCAAATCATGCATTGATAATTGTGATCAAGGTAGGTTTGCTAAGAACAGGTCTTCTAACCCAAACCAATTTTTAAAAAGAGAGCACAGAATTTCTCATATGCTTGCATGACTGATATTCATAGGATACTATTCCATATGGATACGTGATTATAAAGGCAGTAAATTCTGATGTATATGAAATTATATTCCTAAAGTTCTCTGAACTTATAAACCATATATGTATGTCCAATGATGATTGTAATAACATGTACCTTTTCTTGAACTCTGCTGGTCTGATAGAACCTGGGCAATAATTGAACTTCAGAGAGCTCCGTCCAAACAGAAAGACTAAATAGAATCTCCATGAGCATAAGTATCCAAAATATTGACTGCCACAGAGAAGCAATAAGCACAGCAGGTCCTCGTCCACCCCCATAGGCTTCATCTAACATTCTTTTCCCAGTTTGATCTTCTCATTTAATTTTTCAGGAAAAGCTCTCTTGTGCCATGTGGATAGATACAAGCCAAGAGCAAACTCTAACATCTCTAGCCATTATGGTTTCTGCTAGAATAAATGGTACTGCAGATACAGATTTATACTGCAGATAAGGCCTAGAAGATCTGCAAACTGTCATTGAATTTTGTACATACTTTCCAAAAAAATATTGCACAACAGGTATAGCAGTTGAAGTGATGGGCCATACTTGGCAAATATTTAGAAGAGGAAAAAAAACATCTATTCTAAGCACACTTTCCCAGATCAGAAAAGATATTACTACATCTAACTACAACAAGCTCGGGTACTAGATATAACAATCCTAATTCTTAACTAATATAGATTTGTCCCTTTTCCCCCTTTTTAAAGAAAATCACAGATTTTTATAAGCCATGGGCACAGTGAGAAGTCGGCTCAGATTCTCTTTCTCTACTGAGAAAACCAAAAACCTGCCTCAGATTTCCTCTAGATGGCCTTGCATTTATTGCAAATTTGCATACAAATACTAGCCGCTTTCTCATCTCCAACTTGGTTATGCTTGTATCCGTGAAGGACTTTCCCCCATCAAAAGATCCTGAGCAGGCACAGATCATGTTAGAATGTTTTTTACAATACTAAATCCAGCATATAGAACCCAACATAAAAGCTTGAACTTTAAAAATTAAAATAAATTAAAATTAAAAAAATGATTACATCTATAATGAAGTTAACAGGTCCAGATAGAGAATTGTTCCTTTTCCCCAAGGAACTGACTTCCCCAATGCTTCAGTGAAAGATTGGTCAATACTATAATTGAACCATATGACCACTCTATGGGAAGACCAACCTCTTGCTACTTGGTCCACGTATAACTGCAATAAGCCTCTTTCTAGCTGTAGTGATAATATCATTAATATCTATCAGAAAGAACATGAAAATTCAATAGTTTATAGGTCCTGTGTATGGATAGTTACTAATCATCATCCGCTTTCCAAGATATAAATACATGACCTAAACCGACAGACATTTACCAAATCAACTAAATGATGAGTGGTTTGTTGTTGACGTAATGAATTTTGAGTCTACAAGCATTGGAAGAAATAAGTTGACCATCAATCTGACAAAACTCGATTAACTTCGAAATGCATATTCGCAAAAATATCTTTAAGGAAACAGACTGCATGATTTTGACCATCTAGCAACAACAACAATGAGGCGTTAACCCAAAAACATGGTGTCAGCTATATATATCCTTTTTCTCCCCTTCAGTTCTCATAAAGGCCATTACTTCAGTAAGATTAACGATCACTATATCTTTTTTCACAGCCTAAATCCATGTCCAGTTTGGTTTATCTCTAGTTTTAGTCCCTCCAGTCTACATCAGCAAAGTCATCATGCTGATGGTGAATTCAGGGAACACAAGCGCCAATCAGGTACTGTTCAGTAGCCTCAGGAGCACCAATCAGCTACTGTTCTGTAGCCCCTGAGTTGTAGCTTAGTCAATGCAGGTGTTGTCAATCAGGTCAGCATAAGCATTATTGACTTCAATGACCTTGAGCAAATATAATACAAAAAAAAATTATTTGGTTACATGATATCATCAATAACCAAATAAAAACTTGGAAAGCTAACAGGTTGGGAATCAGACCTTTTTCGTCAAACAACATTGTAATAATAGCAAGACATACGCACACACTAATGTCTTCCCCTGCAGAAGAAGGCAATACACTGTAAAACATGACTTCTGAATTGATTTCAAGTATAAGGCATCAAAGCAGTCATTCTAATCGACATCACAACTCACAGTTATGACTTACCATCATGACAACAAATCAAAAGTTTCCTCTGTTTGCTCAAGTTCTGTTTTGCAAAATCAATTGCAGAAGACAGGTTGTTCATCAATGAAAACCGGTCCAACTTTGAGGTCTATGAGTGAGTCAGGTGACAAGAGAAAAAGGTCAGAAAAATGTAATCGCACAATAAATAAACAGAGCCCTTCAAGGATGATGAAAATATGTTTTATTTCACGTACCACTATAGGAAGATGCAAATAGGAAGAATCGGATTTAGAGCAAAAGGAAACGGACTTGCTATCACAATTCAACAGACAGTCAACGCCATGAGAAACATCCTCAACTGCACAAAAGAATTCAAATATCGGAAAGATAAGTCACACCAATAGAGGAACAGGGGATTATATATAGGTGACAAGCAATATAGATGGTAGCCTAAGCAAAACCCTCAAATCAGAACTCTCCAGTCACGAGTTGAAAACTAATAATAAGAATTGCAGGACTGGAAGATGAGAAAGCTGCAAAAATGGTCGAATTAGTTTTTATTAATGGTGTCAACTAGAAATTAATCATTTATTAAGTTGACATATGATTTCTTGCTAGGACAATTAAGAGCAAGAGGAAGTCATGCAATGAAGCTTGGACTTAATAATTGGCAATTGCTATATCTCCAGAATAAAATTACCTCCAAAAAGTATTCTCTGTGTCACTAGGGTTTTGAAGAATGTATAAAATATCAACTACTCAGAATGCTACAATATAATAACTTCACTACTTAGAATTGTAGCATACTCAAACAGTGTTAGACTGAGCAGAAACAGTCTATGATCATAATATATATAGAGATGCAAATACGTATAAATCAAAATTAATTATAATCATACTAAGATATGACATTCGTGTGGCAATTAAACATGTAAGGTTTTCAGACTAGAGAACTAGCAGGAAAATTTTTAAGCCTGTAACTTAAAATTGACTGAAAAACCCCATGGTTCATCCGTAGCCAAAACCAACTTCTAGAAAGCCAACTCAAGGAAACCTCATGCCAAACTTCAATCAGTTGAATATGGAAAAGCTAGATCTGAAAGATATCTTACCATGGCAAGTTCTGCATAATGCAACACTAGTTGGACCTATCCACGAAAGATAACACTCGTTTTCAGAAGATTTTATGTTAATGGAGCTGCATTGTTGTTCAGAATTCACAAGTTGACAACTGATATCAGATTGTTTGTCAGTGATGGAAGCACTTTCCCGAGATTTGTGATGCTTGGCTATAACTTGAGGCAAAACTTCACCTCTCTGGGAACGATAGACTCTTTCTTTTTCAACAATTTCAGAGACTTTCTGGTTAAACATATCAGGTCCAGAATCTATGATATCAAATGCATGCTTCCAGAATAATTGAGGTGATAACCCTCGGGCCCAGCTTTCTTCATCATCACCAGCACCAGGAATATAATGCCAACTGAACTCAGATGTTGTTCTTTGTTGAATTATTCCATTTGTTGCAGATGCTGAAACTAAGATGATTGGTGTGAAATCCCAAGAATCATAATCAGGTACTTCATTCAACCAGATAAGACTTCTTTGCGAAATCCACAATGGACGTAGAGGCTTTCTCAGAGATGATATAACAAAATCAATATCAGCACCACACGCTTCCAGTTGGTTGGTCCATTCTTCAAGACGGTTCTCTATAGCTGCTTTTTCTGTACCAAGGACCCACAAAGGAAGATGCAAAGAACAATCCCAAGAAATTGAGATCTCCCCATTCTCAGCAATCTCACTAGAGAAACTTTTTAACTCCTAGGAAAAAATAACATTAGTCTCATGTCAAAGCACACGATCCTCTAAATCCAAAGACAAAGATCAATTTTGTCATGCATGATTTCTTTAATACTTTAAAAATGAAAATGGAGAAACACCCTAGTATAGCTAGAGTATTCCAGCAATACACGTTCAAATGAGTTCTGATCATCCTATATAAAATTGTTAAGAAAATAGTGGTGAAAACAAGAAGTGGGTATAAGGGCTACTACATATCCACATAGAAATAGAGGCAGTCACCATCCAGAAGTCTCCTATAGAGCAATATAGCATAAACCATCTAGATATATATAACAAAGCACAGCCATTTGACTGCAAATCCGTATCTTCTCTCACCATGTACCAAACACAACACTCCTTCATATTCCATTGTACTTTAATAAATCTTTTTAGAATTTGATGTGTTAGTCATGTCATGTCATGTTGTGCCTGCACCGAAACATACTGAACACAAACAGATGAGTTTTCCAAGACAGGACCTGATTTCAAGTAAACAAGACTTTAAAATGGGACATGCACCATTTTGTTAGAAAAGTTACGGCGACGTAGACCCTTGTTATCCAATATGTGGGGCACAACTAAAACTAGCACCAAAGGAAAGTATTCGCAAATGCGTGTATGTATTAATTAGAACTGCTTCTCCTAGATTAATTGGGAAATAATTACGCAACTTGAGAAAAATAAGGAATGATGAGTCAGAGGCTAAGAAGCTTCTGAGGAATGCTTGTCCACGGAAAGTTCTCACGTTTTCACACCAAATTTTCTTTAACATTACAATGTGCTGAAATGAAATTATGTCTAAAGATGCCATCAACATGATAGATGATTAGTTTTCTAAAGAAAGTTTTCAAATTTTCTATTAAAAAAACAATCTTTAACTTACCAATTCACCATCATCTTGAAACCTCCTCTTCAATCTCCTCGCAATCGCCCGATTCAGAACACACGCCCATATCGGTATGGTCTTCGACATGCTATCAGGAAACCTCTTCCCTTTACGAGTAGAATCCACCACTATACACCCTCCCCTCTGCCCTAAAGCCAAACCAAAACCCCCAATTCACTCCAAACCCTAACTCACACCAAAAAAAAAACACAAAAACAAAACAAAACAAAAAACTAGGGCAAAATCGAAACTTTAAGTTACCAGCGAGTTGAGCGAGGTGGAGATTGAGGCGAGCGGTGCTGAAGGAGCAATTGTTGGAGTGGCCATCGGTGGACTTGAAGTAACACGTGGACTCGAATTGAGAGGAGTACCAGAGGCCGCACCTGAGATTGGCGACGAGAGGGAGATCGGGCCAGAGGCCTGCGATCTCGGAGACGAAGACGGAGTCCTCGTAGATCGAGCGGAGAGCGTTGTAGATTGAGTTCTGCTTCTTTTTGATGCATCGCGTTGCTTTGTAGATGCTCATTCTTTCGTCGGAGTCCATCGCCGCCGTCGCGGAGCG